AGAGTTATGTAACAAAATCCGAGTAGTAATTTATCAATGATACGTTTGATTTGCATCTAACAACAATCATGTAGGTAATTCATTATGTTACTTTTTCCTTAAGAGCAAGTTTAAACGAAATACTAACTTGCTTGTACTAACCTTAAAGAAAACTCAAAACTGTGAAGTTAAAGCATGTAGAGGGACAATACCAAATCTTAATGTATGTTTAGGAAACGTGAGATAAAGAAAAGGGTTTACGGAAATAGATATATCGAATATTAGAAAATCAAGAGATCTAAAACAAATGGAAGTGAGGTTATGTGATTAGTGTATATTTTAACAAAAAGTATTATACACAAGCAACTTTCATGCCATGTATTTTTTTTGGTAAGGTTGATTGTAGTATTCTACAGCAAACCTGTCACAACCCAATTCCATAAATCCCCAAACCCTAAAAAGCCCGTTATCCGCAACCCAAGTTAACCAAAACTCTAACCTAGAGTCTCCCTATATCTCTATATAAGGCCACGAAATAGAGGAGGAAGATCAGAGTTGCACAGTTAGCAAAACCCTACTGTTCTTACTCTAGCCGTCACTGCCTTCTCAGTTAAGCCAGTTCCGAGTTGCTGTTTTGCGGGGCTGATTGCCGGCGGTCAGACNAAATTAGATCGTGATTCTTATATTTTTGGAAAGATCACGNATCCTAGTTTCTNNATCTTCTTTCCGATTTGAATTATGAGGTATGGTCTGTTGTCAAATCGTATTTCAATATTGCGGAAAATCACTGTTTTCTNAAACTGGAATTCATATTTTTAGATCCGATTAGCGGACTTGCGGGCTTGTTTACTATTGATCTATAAGGACCCAAGAGATGATCTATATATCATTGGAGAGCCCTGAGTCTTGGCTTTCCAGAGACACTGAGTTCGGGCTAATCAGAGGTATATGAAAAAGTTATATCTGTTTTGGTCAGACTGGTACATGCTGGCCGAACCGATAAATTATTGTAGAAAGTTTAATAATGAAATATTAAACTTTATCTCTTGAATATTGATCAGCAGTAGCTTATACTTCCTGTTTCCGTCTTCCGTTTCAATCCAATCAACAAGGCTAAGGTGAGGGTGGGATCCATGCTACTTTAGTACTAGTTAGCATTAGGTGTTCTTACATACTAGTCTAGGAATGGA